TCCGCAAGTGAAATTTTCTTTGAATCTGCGGATTTTATTATGTGTCATATATGTCACACATCTATTTTTTGAATTTTGATTATGTTTACAAAAATTTTTAAGCTTTTCCACATATTGAAACAAAATCAAATTTTAAACACTGTTTGAGATACGCACCATAAAGTTATCAGTTGGTTTGGTTTCCTTAAACTTGAAGTAAATCACGTGATTCAGAAATAACTATTTTTCGTCATGCTCTTGAAATATTACGGTGTTATTGTCTAGCATTAATTGTACGAGGATTTAGAACAATTTACATGATTGTCGATTATAGACTTCCAGCACAATATTATTTTGTTTTTTATATATTTTAATATAAATTTTCGTATTTTAAACATGCCAGCTACGGCTGCTGCAATTTATTGTAGAAATAGTCTAAGGCAAATAAGATTAAATCCACATAGTATGTATACTTATTTATTCATTAGAGGTCGGATTCATGAATATTCACAGTTAGAAACACGGATATTCATTTAATATCCAATATTGGTTGCGCAAAATTCACGGATAATCGAAGATTATTAATCATTATAATTGACCCGTGAATATTCGCGGTTATAAATAATAGCATGGGTATCCATCCAAAGTCTGGATATTCATTCAATGCTATTCATGAATATCCGAAACTCGTAAAGAATCCGATCTTTATTTTTCATTTGAGTCCTGCCAAAGGAAAAGGGCAGTTCAGAATTCCAAATTGTATTTTGTACCGAACGCAATCTATTTAATTTATTAGGGATTGTGTCCGGTACAAAATATAATTAAATGTCCGAACTGCCTTGGCAGACTTATTTAGAATTGTATACTAATTTGACTTCTAAATTTTAATACCGCTAGCCAACTTTATGCTCGTAGACATTGGGGGTGGTACGGTATTAACTGCAATATATAAACTTTCCGGCGATGGAAAAACATGCGAACTAGTTGAATATTCTAGTAACTTGTGTGGTAGTACTTACATTGATAAGGAATTCATTCGATATCTTTGTGAAAATTTTGAATTATATAATGCATTACAGCAACTACAAATTCATAATTACGATCAATTACAATACCTTGCTCAGGAATTCTGTAAAAAAGTAAAATTGCCTTTTACCGGGGATCCATCGACTTTCAAGCCTGTAAGTATAGATTTGGAAGATTCTTGCCCAGCGATTGTGAAGTATGTAACTGGAGATATTAGAGAGCGAATGATAGACGCTGAATGGATGATTGAATTGGGTTATGACGATGTTAAAGCGATGTTTGATCCAGTTGTCCAAAGAATTATATCTCACATAGGAAATCATTTGTCAACATCAAAAAGTAAATACGAAGCCATGTTTCTTGTTGGAGGAGGCAGCGAAAACCAATATATACAGGACCAGATGAAACTAGCCTTTAGTCAAAATTTTTCAATGATTGGAAGTCCTAAGCAACCAATCACCGCTATAGTGCGGGGAGCTGTGCAATACGAGTTAGAAAAGAATAGGAATATATCAAGTGCATCACACGGATCTGCACAGTACGGATTAAATATGCAAAATAATATACTGGGTGTGCCTCGTGGACCTGTACAATACCAGAATCAAAATATGTCACCAGTACAGAATCAAACCATGCCACCAGTACAGATTCAAACCATGCCACCAGTACAGAATCCAAACATGTCACCAGTACAGAATCTGAGCATGTCACCAGTACAGAATCCGAACATGTCACCAGTACAGAATCCGAACATGTCACCAGTACAGAATCCGAACATGT